TCTTGCTAAGTTGCTTAGGACCTTGCTAAATTGCTGAGACTGGCTTTGAACTCCTGATCCTCCTACCTCAGCCTCCTGAGCTGCTGGGATTATAGGCATGAGCCAGCACACCCTGCTAGGACTTGGCCATCTTAAATTTGCCTGTGTGAATACCCATAGCCAGGACAGTGGCACGTATGTTATAGGCAGTCAGAAGTTTATGGATTTTTTTTCTATCAATATAATTTTTAAAAATTTTAATTAGGTATCTATGATAGCAGAATACATTTTGATTCATTGTACAAAATTGCAGTACAACTTTTCATTTCTCTGGTTGTACACAATGTAGTGTCACACCATATGTACAATCATACATGTACCTAGGGTAATGATGTCCATCTCATTCCATCATCTTTCCTATCCTTATACCCGCTTCCCACTCCTTCCTTCCCTTTGCCCCATCAAAATTCCTCCATTTTTTCAATGTACCTCCCATTATGGATCAGCATCCAATTATCAGAACATTCAGCCTTTGGTTGAATGTTGATAAAGAAACCACAGTTTCTTTATCCATTCATCTATTGGAGGACATCTAGGTTGGTTCCACAGTTTAGCTATTGTGAATTATGCTGCTATAAACATTGACATGGCTGTGTAACTATAGTATGCTGATTTTAAGTCCTTTGGATGTAGACTGAGGAGTGGGATAGCTGGGTCAAATGGTGGTAAGTTTGCAGATTTTAAGGAAACATCATCAGCCAGAATAGGTGTGTATCAGAAGGCTCCATTCCTTACCAGACTGAAGAGCAAGGAGTTTACAATAGTAGCTTTGATTTTTAATTTCAGCTGACTGGGTTGATACCAGATTTATGTGGCACATCACTGTGCCCTACATGCCTGTTTACAAGAGCCAGTCCACCCAGACTGTACCTCAGGGATCAGCAGACTATTTTTGGTCAAGATTCAGAATGCATTTGTCTAGCTGATGGACAACATGACTTCCTCTTGTGTAGGCATACATGTAGGAATGTGATAGTCCTATTTATTAGTTTATGGCATCTTACCAGCACTGGTCTGAGCAGTACCCCTTCCTTGTTTCATGTCATTCACTTTTCCCTGCCTCACCATTCTCAGAAGCCATGTGATAGAAAAACACCATGTGTATCTTTGTTTTTAAAAAATGTTTGCAGTACCAGGGATTGAACTCAGGACTCATGCATGCTAGACAAGTACTCTATCTGTGAGTCACATCCCCAAGCTTGTCTGTATCTTTGGCTGATAGATAATACTGTTTTGCATGTGTGTCTTTTTAGTTTACATGTTATAGACCTTTTGGGGGCTTTTTAAAACGTATTTTTAAAACTTCTTATTTTAAAATAATTTTAATTTCACAGAAAATTCACAAGAACAATACAAAGAGTAATCATGTATTCTTTATACAGATTTGTGTTTTTCTCCATAAAAAATAATGCATGTGCATTTATATGTATATGTATTTATGTAGATGCACATTGTTATTTTGAGCCTTTTGAGAATAAATTGCAAACATCAAGACCCTCTACCCCTACATACCATAATTTCTGTTTCCTAAGAAGACACTTAAATATACACTATATAGAAGTCACTTAAATATACATTCCTAGTTAATAAAATCAGGAAATTTAGTGTCAATACAATATTATTATATCTACAGATTTTATTTAAATTTCACTGTTTTTTTTTTTTCTAGTAATGTCCTTTATGGAACTCTTTCTCCCGCCTCAGGATCCAATCCAGAATTCCATCTTACACTTAGCTCTTATGTATCTTTGAACTCTTTTTTTTTTTTAAGAGAGAGAGAGAGAGAGAGAGAGAGAGAGAGAGAGGGGGAGAGGGGGGGGGAGGGAGGGAGGGAGGGAGAGAATTTTAATATTTATTTTTAGTTTTCGGCGGACACAACATCTTTGTTGGTATGTGGTGCTGAGGATCGAACCTGGGCCGCACGCATGCCAGGCGAGCGCGCTACCGCTTGAGCCATATCCCCAGCCCAATCTTTGAACTCTTTTAATTTGCAACCGTTCTTTCATCTTTCTTTTTCATGACATTGATATGTTTAAGAGGATAAGCAGTTACTTTCTGGAATGTCATTCAACATAGGTTTGCCAGATGTTTCCTCTCAATTACATTGCCTCCACTTAAAAAAAAAAATACCATGTTTTTAAAACTCTTTTTCTGTTGCTGCAACTATATCTAGTTGGTTGATTATCCCGGCTCTGTGGAATCCTTTAGTGAGAGTTGCCTTTTGGAAAGAACTGGCAGAGCTAAAGGAAGGCTGCATCAAGGAGATTTTTTTATTTTTTTGGCATGAGAAGGAGGTCCTGGTGGGGGCTGTATGACAGAGGAAATTGGAACACCACCTTGACGCATGTGTCATGGGTTGCTCTGCTCTAGCTGCTGGTGGTGGGCCTCAGATGTTTGCTTCCCCAACCATTTCTAAGGCACAAGGAGCTATTATGCTTATAGAAGACAAGGCAGGATACGAAGTTGATCTTTTAGATTGTTCACTTCATTCACTCATGCACTTAATAAACATTGATTAAGGGCCTACTCTGCTCGTTGGAGCTCATCTTCTAGCATATTGAACACCAGAAAGAAAGCTTTCAAACTGAAAGTTCCTCTCTGAGAGGCAAATGTTTGAAAATGAAGGTTAAGGTAAATGGTTTGACATTTTCAATTTATTAGTAAAACAACCTTATAGAAAATTATGTTTCTGCATCTTCTCCTAAATACAGTGATTTCCATTTCTCTCTGGCCTTTCTCATATTTACCAACATGGAACATAATTTTTGCACCATTATCTCCATAGTACATAAATAATTTTGCATTCCATGTTCTCCAGTGAAAATTGTTTTGTATATAGTTTACCATTTTTCATAACCTGCATATTTATCACTCTTCATGATTGCAGTAATTTCTTTCAAGCCAATCTACTAAGACTTATGCATTTCTCTTTTGTTGTAAATTTGACTTGTTTCTAATTTTTTTAACTAGTATTGTGTGTGTGTGTGGGGGGGTCCCTTTCAGGAGGAAGAATATAGAAGGCCTTTTGTTGAAACAGTTGTGATAAATTGTTTCATTCTAACAAAGAAAGGTTGGATTGCTGTGAAGAAAACACAGACTGTCTTTTTAAGGGAAACATTTTCCTTTAATTATATTTTGAGTTTCATTTTATAATGGAAAGATAATTAGTAGAGAAAGATCTGATGCATTTCATATTCCTGACAATACTTTCCAGATATTGTTGGTTTCCAGGGGATAGTAGAGTAATGGGCTATGAAGCTAAGATATAAGGCTGCCGAGTGGCAGGCAGCTCCCAACTGCCCCAGTCTTTCGATCATTCATTTTGCTTCACACAACTGGAGGATCTTGTGTTCCACCACACTTTCCTTCTGAGAGTCACTAGAGGAATACATCACCCTCTGGCAGGAGGCCATCAGCTCTCTCACAGCAGGAAACATGGGTTAATCACCCTGACCTCTGGACACACCTGAGGAATGAACTCTCTGCAGCTGCTCTGTGAGGAGACTGAGGAAAGCAGGAATAGGCAGGAACTGAGATTGCACATGGAACTGAGATTGACAGTTCATCTTCCCTGGGAACCCTCTGAGCTTGGGGTGTGGAGAGGTATTTGCCAGAGATGAGCTGGAGGCTTGTCATCAGCTGGTGATTGCAGTAACCATTTCTAAAGAGAGAACAATTATAAGAATTTGTGACTGATTAACTGGGCTTGGGTGGGGCTGAAAAACAGGCAATCAGTGGTTTGGCAGGCTCTGAAGGAATCTTCAAAGATCCTGGAGTTGTGGACTCCTCTGTATTAGTTATATGCCCATTATGTATCAGATGAAGATTTTCTTCACTTATAGACTGGTACCTCCCTTTTGTTGAATGGAGATTGGAACTTGTGGTTTTTGTTTTTGTTTTTGTTTTGTGAGGGCGTGGTTACCAGGGATGGAACTCATGAGCACTTGACCACTGAGCCACACCCCCAGCCTTATTTTGTATTTGATTTAGAGATAGGGTCTCACTGAGTTGCTTAGTACCTCACTTTTGCGAGGCTGGCTTTGAACTCCCAATCCTCCTAACTCAGTCTCCCGAGCTGCTGGGATAACAGGTGTGCACCACCTTGCCTGATGGACCTTATGGTTTTATAATTTTACTGCTCTATTTTCTTGCTGCTTAGTGTGGAATGTGGAACCTAAACAGTTGTCTTTTTTTGTGTGAGTGCATGGTACAGGGATCAAACCAGGGACAGTTTACCATTGAGCTATATTCTCTGCCCTTTTTATTTTTTGGTTTTTATTTTGAGACAGGGTCTTTCTGCTGGTCCTGAACTTGCAATGCTCCTACTTCAGCCTCCTGAATTTCTAGAATTGGACGCATGTGCCACTATGCCCAGCCAATAAAGATTTTTGATTGGATAATGACTTCAGTTACTGGATTTTGTAGACTAAGCATGTGATCATCTGGGCAGCTGCAGCCCACTGGGTTAAGGGCTTCTTTGAGGTTACTATAAAAATGAGTGGCAGCTAACTAAACCAAAGTCCAGCAACAGTAGGATATAATGGGAAGTCCATGGGCTTTGTAGCCAGCCAATAATGAGGATTATTTTCCTGATTTTACTATTACCTACTGTCTTCACTTGGTTGATCTGCTTGCATTCTGGGAACCTAAGCTTTTTCACCTTATCATTTGAATAAAATTGTCTTTTCTTGGTTTGTGTCAACTTCATTGCTCACAGTAAACAAAAATGTTGCCTTCTTCTTTCCTCTGCCAAAAGGGAGATGATCAAAAGGCAGGAGGTAGGGTGGATAAGATAATATGTCCAGATCCCTGCATTCACATTCCTTGTCATTTCAAGCATACCATATCTTGTCTCCATCTGTCCATGCCAGCAGCTAATGCGGCAGGACTTCAAACAGAATGTGCACCTTTTGGTTTTGCTTTCAGCCTCTCTATTGTAACTGTGTTCTTTGCCTCTGCAGGATTTATGAACGTGTGATAGACACTCCAGAGACCAACCTTCCCCCAGGAAGCAATTTATGGCTTGGTCAGCGAAACCAAAAGCATGGCTTATTCAAAGTAAGCACTAACTTTCTATTTTATTTTCACACACACACACACACACACATACACACACCACATATGATGCTTAATTCTCAATGTTGCTGGAGATGTGTATTGATTAAATTAGTGGGAAGGACATGGCATAATTATTGATGATAATTGAACACTTACTGTATGCCACATACATGCTTTTCTATTGTGTGACATGAATTAACTCATCTCATTGTCACAATGACTTTATAAAGTAGATAGCTTGCAACCAGGCAGAGAGTTAAGTGACATGTCCAAGAGTCACACAGCTCACTGCACTAGGCATGTTCAGGCATGGGTGATCCAGAATGTAGCTGATCCTTAGAATGTGTCTTAACCGCCTGATTTGGGGGACTTAAGGTAATATGATAATCTTTGAATTGGTTGTAGAACCAATAAGTACATATTAATTCAGTTAGGGATAGAGATCTCTTTCTATCTATATACTTAAAATAGGACCCAATCTCAGCTTCTTTGAGCTTTGTTTTTCTTGCTTGTAAAGAGGGTTTTACAATAACTGCATTATTGTACTTCAAGAAGACACAAGGATATGGCGATAAAATGAATTGAAAACACCGTGAAATTGTAAGATAGTCTTGTTCTTTAAAAGAATGACAGACTTTTGCCTCTGGCAATATGGTAGACCAGATATTCTAAAAATCCTCTTGATTCAAAATTCTTGTAAGTCTGGATAAAATACAACAGAAATCTTTTAAAACTCATCATTGCACTTGTAAGAAGGAAAATCTTTTAGGGACCAAATATATTGAAGAGAAAGAAAACCAGAAGGGTGTCCACCAATTCTAGAAACTTAGAGGATGAGATGTTTCCTTTTCCTTTTTTAAAAAATTTAAGCTATAATTTACATACAGTAAAATTTGCCCCTTTAAATGCCTAGTCTTCTGAGCCTTGGAAAACCTGTAGTCTCATAATAACTATTAGAGTCAAGATGAAGAAGCATTCCATCACCTCCCCAAATTTCCACATGCCCTTTGTATTCAAATTTAAGCCTGTAGCAACTGGTGATTTGTTTTATGATCCTGAAGTTTACCTTTTCCAGAATGTTACATAAATGAAATCATTTATATATGTAATTATGTAAGTATGTATGTTGGGTGTTGTGTGTATAGGTGGTTTGTTCTTTTCTATGGCTGAGCAGTGTTTCAATTCTATTGTAAACACAGTTTATCCATTCCTCAGTTGGTGGATTTGGGCTGTTTTTAATTTGGAGCAATAATAAATAACACTATTGTAACCATTTGCATACAAGTTTTTGTGTGAGCAAAAGTTTTAAGGTAAATATGTAGGTCTGGGATTGCTGAGTCATTTATTAAGTACATGTTTAACTTCATAAGAAAGGGACAAGCTATTTTTACAAAGTACCTAAATCATTTTGCATTTCCATTAGCAATGTAGGAAAATTTCGGAGCCTTAAATTTCAACAACCTGTGTGGACCTTTCTCAAGAAAGGTCTTAGAGTCCATGTATGTTTGGGATGTGTATGGAAACTTCTGGTCTAAAGCTAGAAACCTGAAAACTAGACCTCCATTGATAGGGTAGGCAGAGAAAGCCTACTGTATAGCATCATTCAATAACTAGCCTGACTCCATCTCATCTCCAGACAAGAAAGAATAACACTTCTTTGAAAACTGAACCTTGGGGGAGAGAAAGGGAGAGAGAAGGGAAAGCATATGGAAATGGTAGGAGACCCTCAATGTTACACAAAATTACATATAAGAGGTTGTGAGGGGAAAGGGAGGGGGAACAAGGGAGAGAATTGAACAACAGCAGATGAGGTAGAGAGGGATGATGGGAGGGGAGGGGAGGGGGTATAGTAGGGGATAGGAAAGGTAGCAGAATACAACAGTCACTAATATGCCATTATGTAAAAATGTGAGTGTGTAACTGATGTGATTCTGCAATTTGTATTTGGGGTAAAAATGGGTGTTCATAACCCACTTGAGTCAAATGTATGAAAGATGATATATCATGAGCTCTGTAATGTTTTGAACAACCAATAAAAAATAAAATAAAATCATTTCATTTAGTTCTTACAAAAAAAAGAATTTCTAAATTATAAAAGTTACACACATTCATGCCCATGACACAGACATTATTGTATTTGTCTATGATATACCAGAAGGCAAACGCAAATCAGATAAGATCTGTGCATATGACATTCAGGTAGAAAAGATAGAGAAAAAGAAATAGCAACCTGAATAATGAAGATTTAAAGAAATGACAGCATTAGATGTGCAGTAGTAAACTAGAAAGTAAAAAAGACAGGGACCAAAAGAAGGAGAAGAGTGAGAAAATAAGAGCAGAGGAAATGGAATGACACACAAGAACATTTTCAGAATTTATTTTAATATATTGGTACATTTAATTAAAGTAGCTAGATATCAGATAAGACCATAGGTATATTTTTGGTGTGCAAATAAAATCTAAACTTAAGGTCTGTTTTAGAGAAAGCACCAGAATGTAGTGAATGTGTGCTTTATCCCTGATTTAGGCCATACAATCTTGCATATGGTATGTATGAAGTCATAGTTACAAAGATAATTTACCCTTTAATTGTTTAATTTTACTTAAATGTTTTCAAAAGGAAAAAACTTTCCTTTCAAAGGAGTGGTTATTTTAAAAATTATTTATTTCAATTTATCATTTATCTTCTTATTTTTTGCTGTACCAATGGTTTTTAAAAAGTATTAAATTGACAGATTAAGTGTGACTCTATTCAAGATGTATAGTGTAATGATTGGGTATATTATACACTGTATGATGGTTACTATAATACAATTAATTAACATAATCATTACCACCCATGTTTGTCCATCTTTTAAATTAATGTTTCTACCTTAGACCAATATCCCATCATATCCCTCTTCCTCACAGGTCCTGATAGCCACCATTGAACCCTGTGCTTCTATGAGTTTGACTTTTTTAGATATCAAAAGGAAAGTTCTTACCAAGTGGTATACATCATCTAAACAAGTAAATTCATTAAAACTAAAAAAAAAAAAAAAAGAAAACTGAACCTTGGCCCTATCTTCACGTAGGCTTGACCCCTAGATTAACTTGATCTATGAAGCTCAATCAGCTGTCTTAAAGTGGTCCTGGATGGTTGGTACCTGGAGATTCCTGATTAGAAAAGGCTTTGGAAAAGGTCACTTTCAATGCGATCTCATAAGGTGCCCACAGATTAGGTCCATAAAGATGAGTTTGTAAGCCATTATGAATGACAGTGATTGCTCAATTAGCCCTTCAAGGGCTGMAGAAATTGGGATTAGTAGGCAAAGAATTTTTTAAATGCATATGTTTAAAATGTTTAAAGAAACAAAACAGTAAATTAAAGAACATATGATGACTAGAGATGATAAATATGACCAAGAATAGTTGAACTGAAAAGCACTTTTAGAAAAGAACACTATAGTCATCAAAGCAAAACAAACAAACACAAACCAAAACCAAAACCAAACAAACAAACAAAAACCAAAAAACAAACAAACAACAACAATACCTCAGTGAAACTGCTAAATTACAGATTAGACTTAAATAGGGAGGGCATTCATGAAATGGAAAGTATTATTATTACCCCAATAGTGGTGCAGTGTAAAAGACAAGAGAATAGGAAAGAGGTTAAATGTAGAAAAATTGTTTATAAAAATTTTACACATCTGTTTAATGTGTGCATGTGTATATGTATGTATGTGTGTATTATATATTACATGTATAATAAATATGTATGCATATTACATATATATTAAAATTCCAGATGATGAAAAAGAAAAAGAGGTTATATTATGATCATAATTGTTAATAAATCAATTCTCATTATAGGAAATAAATGAAATCAAGACGTATGTTATCTGTTGCTGCTTATCAAGTGGCTTAGAAAACAGATGCTTAAAGAACAGCCACTTTGCTTAGCTTCCAATTCTGTGCTTTGGTCAGAAGATTTTTCTGGTCTGGCTTGTCTAAGCAGATACTTGCTGGATGCTCTCAAGGGTCTGTGGTCAGCTGGTACATCAGTGGGTGGCAGGATGATCTAAGACGGACTTTCGCATCTCTGGCAGCAGGCTGGCTGTTGTCTGGTGCTCCTCAGTTCTCCCTACATGGCCTCTCATTCTCCAGTGGCCTAACTCAGGATTACTCACATGGCAGCCTTGAGATTAAAAGAAGAAGAAGAAAGCAAGTACCTAGTGTGCTGGTACTTTTAAAGGCTGTTTATTTGATTGCATTTACTAACATTTTATTGTTCAAATAAAGTCATATATTTCAAATACAGAGTCAAAGTGTAAAGAAATAGACAATCTGTCTTGAAGTGGTGGTAGGCAATATCATACTACTAAATTTGGATGCAAGGAGTAGAAGAATTTGGGGGGGTGCGGTACTGGGGATTGAACTCAGGCGCACTCCACCACTGAGTCACATCCGCAGATCTATTTTGTATTTTGTTTAGAAACAGGGTCTCTCTTGAGTGCCTCACTTTTGCTGAGGCTGGCTTTGAACTCATGATCCTCCTGCCTCAGCCTCACAAGCCGCTGGGATTATAGGCGTGTGCCACCACACCTGGCAGAATTTTTGACTATTTTAATAACTGATTACACAAATCAAGATACATACACCTAGAAATAGTGGTAAAATTCCAATATCCCAAAATCACAGAGAAGATCTTATAGAAGTAGCCATTGAGAAAAAGCAATTTTTCTACAAAAGAATAACATAGATTGAACAGCTGGCTTTTAAATAGCAAAAGCAGAAGCCTGAGGACAATGGAAAAATATTTTCAATTTTTTGAAAGAAAAATAACTCTCAAATGTAAGGGCATATACACAGCTTGATTATTATTTGAGAATGACTGTGAAATAAGGACATTTGTAGACAGACAAAATTCTCAATTTAGAACCAATAGATCTTCATTTGAAAAACTTCCTAGAAGGAAAACATAAGGTACAAGAAAAATTGAACAAATAAAAATTGAG